TCGGGAATGGCATCCAACGTCACAAGCCTCGAGCTCTTCTTCCTGGGGCTCACCTGAATTGTCTTAGTCAGAATCACCGGCACACCCCCACAACATCCAGCGATATAAACTTCGACAGAAGGCGACGAAACACCGAGCTTCGGCTGAAAAAACGCCGACCCAGAACCTGAGCCCGAACCGTTCCCCATAGCCATATAACAATCCATATCCCATCCGGTTTTCGCATCGCTCACGCTCCCGTTGCTCCACGCGCCCTCCATCCTCTCCAAGCTACCGCAGAGAAGCATATCATCGTTCTCATAGACCTCGAAGTCGAACCCTCCAGTGACGCGCACAGCATCGGTACTTACGTAAGTTACCTCAGAAGACTCCCGGTCGAGGCGGTCGCGACGGAGGGCGACGCGAGCGGCTTCGGATGCAGGCACGCGGGAGCCGTTGATCTCGAGCGACACGCCGATCTCGCGGCGCGGGTAGCAGAGAGTGAGGTGATCCGACACGCTCTCGACCACGCAGGGGGAGATGCGAACGTAAAAGAGGCGAATTTCGAGCCACGCCGATTGGGACAAGGACATGGTCGGACACTCCATCAAATGGTAAGAATTGGCGGTCTTTACAGAGATAGGTCTGGGAGATGGATCAGGTTCTTGGTGATCCATTAGAATTTCCAATTAGGTGAACCAATTCCGGAATCAATGAAGACGAGGAGGAGATAAAACGTTTTTATTCTTTTAGGGTCAGAGGAGACTAGAGAATTGGATGAAATTTTGGTAATTGCAGGAAATTGGGAATTGGGGAGGTGTAATGAGAAATTTAGGGGGGTTTTGAATTGAGGTGTTAAGAAAAGGAGATTGGTAGGGTTTTTGGTTGGGAAGGTTTGTTGAGATATTTCAGTTGTTGAGGAGCTAGACGAGGTCAAAACAAAAAGAGACAGAAATCTGGGGATGGAAGGAAAAGAAACGGTAGTGTGGGGATTTTACACGTGTCACGGTACGGTCCGGTTAACGGTAACGCGAGAATTCAAGGCCTTTTTTTTCTTTCTTTTTTTTTTTTTTTTTTTTTTTTGTTTTTTGGTGTCTGAAAATTGAGCATTTTTGTTATTTCTCATGGGATTCTTTAAAATAAATTAAACTTATGTTTTTTTTTTTTTTTTGTGTTGATGGTGTCTTACTTTCTCCATTTATTAAAGTTAGTAAAAGATCTAATTGGTAATTCATGGAAGACAACCCTTGTTGTTGTATGGACTCCACCCAAGGTAATGGTATTATCTTGAAATGTATAAAATGTTTATGAAAATTCATATATTGATTAATGGTAATATCACTAATCAATTCACTTATTAATTAATTCACTCTTTTTATATAAATCCATTCTATTATATTTATTTTATTGTATAATACATTAGATGTTTACGAAAATATATGTTATAGTTAATAACAGTACTAATAATTTATTCACTTTCTCTGTACAATTCCACCTTAATATATTTATATTATCATTCAATATATAAAATAATTGTAAAAATACATATCGCAGTAAATGCCAATATCATTAGTTTATTCACTCAATAATCAACTCTAATCATAGGAATTTAGTATTTTTATATTATACATCGAGAAATTAAGTCAAACATAAACAATATTTCAAATTAGAAGTGAAATTTATTTGTAACATATATAATATTTTTTTAATTTTTTTTGTTTTTTCATTTTATAGAGGTTTATTAATATTAAATGAGAGTCATAACAA